TCCTCTTTCATTCGGTCTAAAGCCAAAGTATTGCCAGATAGGTGAATTTGCACCTTTTTTACCAACGAAGTTTGTTGACGCCATTATAACGACACAGATCACTGTACCTATTCATGCCAGAGTCCTGCAGAAAAAGTGATTGACAGGTGGCAATTTGTGTGTAACTTATCTTTATTTATTTGTAGTTTTGTTATGGGTAAAACAAAGACCATTCGGATCAGGTAGTGGAAACGGTAGGCTACAATTAATTAATTCGTTATGAATTAATTATTTAACAACAACCAACCTTTCCCCCCCAACCCGCCGCCTACGACGATGATGCCATCGTCCATCGCGATGTTTCACATTAGACATCGTACGATGCCAAATTGGTCAACATCGCCCAACCCTAGTCTATGCATGACATCAGTCATTTGAGAGAAGCTAAAACTTTCTACAATCACTCCTCAGTATCTCCCCTCATGTCAGTGATGCTTTAGAGAGGACCATCACAGGCTCATCTGCAGTTTCTGTTCCACCCCAGGTATCTGGCGCATCTGACTGCACGTCAAAGACCCTTGATTCCGCCAGCGCCCAGTTTGCTGCATCGGCCGTGATTTCATCCCCCAATGCGGCGGACAACGAGGCCAGTAAGGAAGGCACGCATCACACCGCCAGCATGAACGGACTCTTCCATACGTCAGGTGCGTCATCGTGGTGGCAGTCTGCTGTTCCATTTGGTCCACCAACAAGTTCTGGTTCTATCTGTTCTGCAGTTGTTCCTCCTGATGAATGTCCAACTGTCATTTGTTTCATCTTCAGTACCATGACTTTGAGGGTGATATGGATCTCTCTGTCCTCCAGGGACTTCAAAACCTCCCCATTCCACCAGCATGTCAGTGAGCAGCGATCCCCTGCCATGTGCCCCTGTCCAGCTGTTACGGACTGTTCCCAATGGCGCCTCCAGCCAGCTGTTGCCCACACTGTACACCAGCAGCCCCCAGTCCCTCCCAGGGGCAGGTGCCGCTCACCTCAGTAGCGTCACTGTGGTGTCTCCTGTCAACCAGCCCCTCAGTGCCCGAGCCCCCGCCCCGTCTCCGTCTGCCTTAAAGCTTGCCACTGTCGCCACCACCCTGGACCGGGTGCCCAAAGTCACACCCGGGAGCGCCGTCAGCAGCATGGCAAGGTCAGGCTATGCTCTTGTTAATGCTGACTATACTATCAGTGATTAAACCCTTCTGTTAAAGATACATTTTGAAAAATCTGATTTTCAAGACATGCTAGAATAATGTAAAAAATCACAAATTAGTCAATATCCAGCACACTTTGGAACGCAGACCATCCTTTCAGTTTATTAAATAGAAAGCTAGTACTTAAGTTTGTCACTGTTTCTGTTCAATTGTGTCTACCTAGGCCAGTGGTTCTCAATTCTGTTCCTGGCACCCCCCTGCCAGAATGTTTTCGTTCCAACCCTACCTTAAAGCTGGTTACAGAACAAACACGGCATGCGCTGTGAGCGCCCCATTCAAAAAAAACAGCTGTGTCCTCTCAACGCGCTGTGCTCACGTGGGGCTTTTGGGCAAAGGGTAGGCATGGTTTTCAAAACTCTCCTGTCATTTCGGCTCACGGTCAGTAGCCACGATGTATATTTTGCATTCAAAAAGATTCTACACTTGTGTGATATATTGTCCGTGTCTGAGTTCCCAGAGCTATAAGTTTCCCCTCTATTTTGATTTCGGTGCCTTGTTTCTATTGATCACACGACAATGCGTCACAGCGCTCAGTGGTCAAAGTTCAACAAAGTTCATCTTTGACCACAGAGCTCGCACAAGCTCCGCGAGCGGTGCACGGCACGGAGCACAGCGTAGTGCTCACCGCGTTCGGTCTGAAACCGGCTTTAGCCTATTAAGGACCATCTGATTAAGGTAGGGTTGGAACGAAAACATTCTGGCAGGGTGGGTGCCAGGAACAGAATTGAGATCCATTGACCTAGGCAAACAGCTGAGGTCATGAATATGCATTAGATTCACCTGGGGCACTCCCCATACCCAAATCAGTCTGCCAGTGGGCCTATCATGTGCTGAATATCAGTGTGAAAGGAGACAAAAACATGTATCTTTTGTAGTTTTTCCTGTTTGTTGAAAGCAATGGCAGAATGGGAAAATCCAGAACTGTTTTAGCATAATTAAGAAAAATCAGCTTGTTTTGTGCCAGTCGTTAAAACAATTTCTTCTTAAAACAATCCTCATCACTGTTAGTTTTCAATGGAGGATGAATTAATTTCATTAACGCTGTCAAGAAATGATTGAACTTGTTGCAGACCTTTGGCGGAAAAATGAGTGTGCCATTGTGAAAATGGCAAACATAAACCGCCTGATTCCGAGTGCCATTTTATGTCATTTATAGTTGGTGTAGCCACTCATGCTTGTGTCAATAAGTAAGACGCAATGAATAAAATGTGTAAGCTGGTTGTTTTAATAATTTCATATAAAAAAAAAAAAAAATGTGATCTGCATGTATTTTATGAAACCGCTGATTTATTGTATTATTTGGGAAATAACGCATTTTAAAGTAGACAGATGAAGGTTTCTGATTTTGTATGATTCGAGCATATGCATCAAGCACTGATGGGGATGACGTTAGTTTCACACATTTAAAAAAAAACATTTTCTAAGTTAAGGCACCAGGGCCTTCATCGACTCCAGTGGGTTAATCACCGCTCTTTAGGGTACAACAGCAGAGACTACTGGGACTTTCATTGCTACCCCACCCTGTGGTACGAGGAGGTGGAATGTGGCTTATTAGGTTAGGACCTGATTAGAAGGTTGCCAGTTCAAATCCCAGGGCCACCATAGTGGTGTCATCAGTTTTACCCTGAGCAAGACCCTTATCCCCCAACTGCTTCAGGGACCATCTGATTCTGCTTTCCCAAAAATTAAGTCTTTCCTGTCTTTGTTCGCAGGGAGAACAACGAGCCAGAACGACTTGCTCTCAATGGGATATCTGAGACCACGGTGGCAATGGAGGTGACATAGCTGTCTGGACAGGAGTCGCATGACCGTGCTGAGTGGCCCCGTGTAACCACACCTTGCAGGGTCTCTGCCCAAAACAAGGGGTTGCTCTCACACGGGCCTGTCCTAAATCGCAGCATATCAGAATATCAAGAAGACATGTCTATATATAATTGTACATTTTTGTAAAATGTGGAATATCACTACTTTGTAAAATAGTTTATTTGTATCATTAGTACATCATTTCTTGTTACTTGAATTGTAGGTATTTGTCATCATGCTTTTGCACTTGAAAATGCAACTGAATGGAGGGGATAAAATGTGCAGGCGTTCATTTTGGGGATCGCAAGCATGAAAGCGTATCCTTCGTCACTTGTTTTAACTATTTATTTTGTAATGTTTACATTTTGTACAAATCAAATTTTTTGTGTCTATGAAACATTGACATAGTTAGCATAAAAGTTGTACTTTTTTTTTCTAAAGACAAAGTACTATAAGCCTGATTAATTTGGTTTCACAAATTGAATAATTAAATATCTAGTTCAGTGGCATTTTCATGAAGTATTTTCTATATTTCTTTTCAAAGGGGTAACGGGGCTGTTTCAGCTGTTTTATTACTTTTTTACTTTGTTTCATTTCAATGTAGGAATCTGTAATACATTCTCTGATGTAAAGATGAGCTGTTGTATCCATAGGGACCTATTTATTTAACTTTTTAAAGAAACAGATTTGCGTCATACATTCACAGTCTGCAAATGTAAAAAGGAAAAAAAATTTTTTTAATATATTTGCCTTTTTAAACATATGGGTTAAGCAAATAAATATTACACAAGTATGGATAGTTGTATCTGTCGTTTATCTGGTGTAATCGTGCTGATCATATTTTTTGATTCTCCTCAGCCAAACCCCAAGGGTTTGGCATATGCATTGAAATTTTTTATTTTGACCACAATGCAAGTAACAGAGTAGGGGGCAATGTCTTGCTCATCAACCGGTTTCATTACAGTCCCAGTGATTTTGTGAATTCCTGTAAAAACCCTTAGGAGGAACATGTTTTGAACATATTAATTTGTGTGCCACTTCAGACAAACCTTTTCCCTGTTACTTGTACTTGGGGGAATGCAGGGGAATTAAATACATATAAATATATAATAGGATGTTGTATGAATGTCTCTCTTCCTCATTTGACGGAACACAATTTTCATTATTAAAATAACGTTAAAGTACACATTGGTGTGTGCTGAATTTGTCTAAGACCTGGAGATTCCAAGCTGTCTTTTTGTCACTGCTCGGAGATTTCGGTCATTTCGGAAACGTTTTTCGGATCAGACGTTTTCCGGTGTGGCCTCTGATTTTTTATTTTTTTTTCCCCCAAACGCTAGATGGCGTTACCTTCCCGTTATTAGTGCGACATTGGTGTGTTTTAGTGTAGGTAATTTGCAGAACCACTCTAGAAACGTGATTTTCATTCACAGATGTGTTGAAGTCATTATATTTTCAAATAATTTTATTTGTATATTTGTCTACGTATCATTAGTTTTAAAATGAAGTATTCGTGAGATTTAGTCTAGGAACCTGCGGCTGATCGAAATGGCTTTTCCTGTGAAATTGTACCATATTCATAATCATTATTCTTCTGCATTATTCCTACAGTAGCTTGTTAAAACAAGGGTGTAGATTTGGCTAAGGACGGTCCCTACCAAATCGTGGTACAACCGTGTATGTTTACGAGGGACGGGGTGTTCAGAGCTGATTTGGTCCCTACCAACGTTGAAACCAATCTTACACTCTTGTGTTAAAGGTCAGATTACTAATCTTACCATTTTTCTGACACAGCAAATTCATTTTTATGTTATGCTTGCATTTTTAAAAATATGTAAATAAAGCTGCAGGGTATTACAATCGGATAGATAATGCTATTTTGCTTTGTGCACAGAAACCCTTACTCGTGTGTTGCACTACAAGCCCCATAATCCCTGGTTTTAATAAATACGCATGCGTCCTGGCCGACTGACGTAATCGAAGGAGATGCAAGCCGTCTTGGAGGTGCGATGCAAGGTAGAGGGACCTGGGGACAGCTCCTGGTGCTGAGGCAGGATGGCATCGCTTTCACTGGGTTGCGGATTTTGAAGTCTGCAGCGCTTGTATTCTTGCTCAATAACGACATTATTGCAACTTTCTTGTTTCTTTAAAGTAATTTTTCTCTTTTCAAAAAGTGTTTAATTCATATCGTACTATTATTAAATACCGAATTGGTCCAAAAAGATCCAATCGGAATATACTGCTGTAATTGATTTTCGCAGAACAGCATTGGTGTGCGGCGGCTATTTTTTTTCTATTTCCATATATGCTGTTTCTGCATATATGTTTTTTCTGAATTGTCTGCACATTAATTCTGGTTAATTTGGCCTGCCTGGATAGAAAGAGATGGCGGATGCAGCCGAGTGCGGCGTGAAAGTAATGTGCCGTTTCAGGCCACTGAATCAATCAGAAATCTCCAGGGGAGACACGTACATCCCTAAATTCAAGGGCGAAGATACCGTGGTCGTAGCGGTGAGTTCCTGCAACAATTTTCGCTTCTTCTGTACTGTAGATCATCATGGACGTACTGAGCTCTTTTGCAGTTTAGGTGATAAAAATGAATTGTGGTTCAAAAAGCGGACGGACGCATGGAAAGGCAACGTCCCAGCAAAGCGCAGCGGTGCGCTTAAGCCAAGCATTGCGCAACATGTGTAGGCACTTTTTAGACGAAATCATTCCGTAGGTATCTGCCAGGGATTGCTTTTTAACTTCTACATCAGTTTTAAAGGTAAAATAACAGCATTTGCAAGCAAAACGTTTGCTAAATATGTTGTGATTTTGTTTGTCTTCCTCAGTGGAGCTTTGTATGCGCTTTAATTTGGATCTGAACGGACAAAGCGCGATAAGGTGCTTTATACAGACCTGTCTATAGTGTACAAATATACAAAACTTGTAATATACACATTAATACTGTGTTTATATGTCTGTCTATATATATATTTTTTTTTTCTACAGATCTATATTTTTTCTCAAATGTAAAAGGAAGAATGACCAAAATCAAATTTAATAAATGAAGTTTATAAAACAAACTATACCAAGTTACCAAATACACACATTTGTAACCTTTGAGGTTTAACGTTGCAGATTAATGTGGATAATATTCGTCATAGTGGACCACAATGTGGCCATGTTGACACAGTTCTTCGGGCTGATACCTTCCAAGCGTCTGGAAAAAGACGAATGAATGCATACACAATGGCAAATTTACTCAAATCAGTAATGTGGACATTTGCCTTCCCGGACGTTTTTCTTTGCCTGCTATTGCAGTTTGGTTCCAGGCTCTGACATTTAATCAGAACAAGAGCATCGGGAAGGATGAAATGATCCTGAAAACATCTTGAGTTCATTCAGGTCTTATCGCTCGTTATGTTGGTGCCACTTTTTCCACTTTTAAATTACATTTTAAATTACAAGGGAAAAGCCGTGTATTTTTAGGTTATGTGTTCCTCAGTGTGTGTGTGTGTGTGTGTGTGTGTGTGCTGTTGACATCTCCACTGTTCTATTATAAATGTCAGTATAACTCTTTAATCGTTATGTCAAGTATTAAATGTAACATTTCCAGTATTTCTTGTATTGTTTAAAATCAGTGTGGCAGTGGTAAAATTGCATATTTGCAACGTAATATCAGCAATACCTCAGATATTACTAAAATAGTGGTAGTCAACAGTGCCTATCAAAAAAAAGTAGAGCACCAAACTCCCTTTGACAAATAAGTTAATTACAGAAAATATGTGATATATTATAATAATAATAATAATAATAATAACAATAAAAATATGATTTCTGTAAAATAGCCAAAATAGCATAAAATACCACTATCCATCAGTATTAGGAGGGCACTACCCTGTATAATGTAATTTCATATTTTGGGGGGGTTTAAGCATGAATGAAAGTCAATGCAGTAAAATTCTTGGGCTTTAAATGTATATTTTATTTAACTTGATTCATACCTTTTCCTCTTATTGACCCAGTGATTGTACTATGAAAGGCTTCGGAGTGACATCACAGTGCAGTTATAGTATTTGTCTGACCTGTGTGTATTTGGGGTCTGTTTCAGTGTGTTTCTGCCCCACATGTGTGGATCTTGTCTGGAGCCTGCTGGTGAGCATCAGAGCTCACATCGCACACAGTCAGGTCCAGATGCACAGTTCAGGCTAGGGGGCACTAATGAGAATGTGCTCCTTCAGTAATAGTGGGAGGACAGCAAGGTGACCATCCCCCTCATCCCCTGACACATCATGCCTTTGTCTGGACAAGGAGAAAACAAGAGTTTGGGACAATGAAGCTGAAGGGAGGAGAAGCTTTCAGATCAACAGTGGAGAATCTGGGTCCATCAAGGGCTGCAGGCTGTTGGTTTTCTCTCAGCTCGGCTCTGTTTTAGGGAAATTCTTATCAGGACAGTGTCTGAGTTTACCAGGCTCTCCAGGTATAAATCAGTTGTTAAGAATAATTTGACGAAGGCTTCCTCTGATTCTCCTTGGAAATGAGCTACTCCCCCCAGATCCAGAAGACATTGTCAGGGTCTGGAGGTGGAAAACTATCACAGATAAAATAGCACTTCACCACTAACCTGCTTCCGAAAATCCTTAAATAATGGAGGCAAGTCAATTAAGCTTTTATTTTAGTGATGACTCACACATGACAGGAGAAAAATGGACTCTCATTTTAATTAGATTCCTATTGCTAATGCAGCTTTATAGCAGGCGTTCTGCTTCAATCTGATTTTAAGGCAGGTTTAAAAGGTTCCTGGGTGTGTTATATGGATTAGACAGTACTGAAGTTGAAGGTGCATTATAGATTAAAGTCAGAATTGTCATTGCAAAACCCATCTAATGTCACCGAGTATGCTGTAGAAGCCATTTACCTTACAGTCGTCACATCAGCTCTGCACCCATGTGTGGCCAGCAGAGCCGATTTAAAACCATAATAAGTCAATTAGTCCAATCAGGAACAGCGTGGTTTATGAACTGTGGGTTGGTGATCAGTCACCATGGAAACACAAATAACCCAAACCTCGTGTTTGCCCTGGTTTGCCCTCAGCTCGCGGGATTCACACGAAGGAGACCCTGAGGACAAACCGAAGACTCAGTCAGGGGCTAAATTGTTAAAGCACTGACTCTCATCTGGCTGATTCAGTCTGATATCTGACACCTTTGGGAATGAAGGGCCTGGGAAATGCCAGAAATTGTTTCACAGCAAAGAATGAAACACCGTGTTTCCCTTAATGGAGAACTGAGACGGGAACAGGCTGTGATGGTCTCCATGCCATGGGCATGTCCTCCTGCCCATGCTCCCCATGAGACACACAGATGATAGCAAGCCTGAGGGGTAGCCCCCTGGAGCAAATGGTGGTTAAGGGTCTTGCTCATGGGCCAAACAGTGGCATCAGTCTGCCAGCCCTGGGATTTGAATCGGCGACCCTCCAGTCACATGCACGGAATGCATAGACCTATGTGTGCCATTGGTCTGAGATGCCATGTATTTTGCGAAGCCCATCCAGTCAGCTTCACACCATCTTAAAATGGATGGACAGCACAGAAAAGAGAGAGAGAGTAAGGGGAAAGGGGGGAGAGAGAGAGAGAGGATGTTTGACATGTTGGCGTGCTGCGAGCCCCTTCCAGCCCAGCACCTGTTCCCTCACGATGAACAGCCCCCCCCCCCCGCAGGCTTACGCCTGCCATGACAATGGCAGCACCGGGGCACCCCTGTGGCACTCGGGCATGTGTCGCCTGCTGTGTAGTTCCACTGTTGCTGGGATTGCCCGTTTGGGCGCGGCCGTGGACTTTACGTGACCTCTCCCCGTGTGTGCGGGTTTCCGTGTGCATGCCGCAGGTGAAGCGCCCAGTCTGCTTCTGTCCTTGTGTGTGGGTGTTACCATCATATGGATCAGCATCCTGTTTACCAGGTTCTGGGCCATATGCCCTCTGCATTCTGGGATTGGCTCTTCATTCCCAAAGGCAGCCTGTGCCCACTGGGCTCTCGGGGCGTCCAGCAGTTCCGTTTTCATGATTAATTTACTCTCTTGCGTTCGGTGTGACCTTGGGAGTGACAAGGTTCAATAACTTTATTTAAAATATTTGTTCATAAAATTTTAGTTGGTGATGCATTAGCCTCATTTGAAAAGAGGTAGAGCTGCACTAAGCTGAATAATGGGTTTGTCAGGATGTGGAATGTTACAGAAATGGGCTGTTCTCCATGCCATAATGTAGTGCTATTGATTAGGGCATTTTGTGTATTTCTATGTTACTGTAATTCTTTGTTCTTTAGCTATGTCTGAGCCAGGATATTTTTAATGAACAAAAGAAGGATCACAAATGTTCTGTTGTCCAAAGCATTTCATGGCTGTTTGGATTAATGATTAGAGGGCACTTTTAAAATATAGAAAGAAGATACTTTTATTATGGTTCGAGACAGGAACAGTAATGATAATGTTTAACGGAGTGTCCAAAGTATACAGATATAGTATAATTGCAGTGATTATTTGACTATTTAGTACATATAAAGAGATTTGGCTTGAAGTTTGGCTTCAGTTAATGTCCAGTTTGGCAAAAGGACAAATACATAGGAGTATTTTTTCCACTTCTTTGTTTAATATATATATATATATATATATATATATATATATATATACACATTATATACATATATGCATATATATATATATGCATCTGTCATGTAGAGATACTGAAGTGATTCGATGTAGAAGAAGAGCTTGCACAAAAAATGTCTATCAGACTCTGCAAATGGGTGTTATGATTTGAGTACAAAAAAGCTGTTTCAGTTGCCGATGGTGATTTTCAGTCGAAGGTAGACACTCATAATTGACTGTTTGAAAAAGACTTGCGGGGAAAAAGCTGACAAAGGCTGAGCATAGTGCAAATGCCTTGTTTGATCTTTCTGATTGTAATGATTTTCGAAGCCCTTCAGTGGAATTCATCAGAAAAAAACGAGGGGGGGAATTGATGTGACTGGAGGTGGTTTTACTCCTTCAGGGACCTCCATTGTGATGCTTGTCTCCATGGCGATGGCAGCACATTGTCATTAGGTTTGATTGCGGGACCTTGGGTGAATATTTATGTTCACGGAGGTAGTTGACACAGTGTCTGAATTGTGCTCAGACATGATCCACAGTGATTGTCTTCTCCCGACCTCTGAATGTGTCTGCCATCGACTCTGAATTCGCTGATTATTTCAAGAGACTGACTCACGTAATTGTGCTCAACTGTTTGGCAAATCGATTTCACACCAAAGATAACAGAGAATATCCACAGACATCTATAGAATATCTAGCAGACCATATACAATATCCTTGTTTAAAGTATGAATAGGTCTAAGAAACCCATGTTATTAGGCATTACTTTAAGCTTGTTTTGTGAGACCAACTGTTCCCCTGTGATCTCTGTTCCCTGTAGGGATCCATCACTATGGAGATGATGAGCATAACAGCACTAAGATGTTGAGCTCCATTTGTCCTGGTGTTCAGTAGCCATCATGAGGCAGCCATGAGCTATGATCTGTCCTGCATGATGTGTGATGGATGTCAGCCCCGTTTTACTCTTTGATGAACACTTTGATGACTTAGTCCATATATGGTATGCTACAGGGCATGATGCCGCTTTAGCCAAAGGTGGTTGAGGTATTACTGGGTAGATGGAGAGCTTTCATTCTTTGTGCACGTGACCATTTCCATGTCCTTGCTAAGTTGCCGTGGGATACTTAGAGTAGTCAGAGTGGCTTCTCCTTGTGGGATACGGTTCCTATGGCAACCCATTTTTTGCTGTGATGGTATGACCTCTAACAGAATAATGAAACATTGAAAAAGAGAGAAGTTATTGTTTTGTTGGGGGAGGGCAGACATTTAAAAGGCACATTAATAATTTCCCACAGGAGTCTGCTGTTTTAGGATATATCATGCTTCAGGCATTAAATAGAGCTTCTCAGTGGTGATCCATCAGGAATATTCTGAATAACCATTTACTCATGTGGGGTCTGCAAAATTCAGACCATGTTTTCAGTCCCATAGGATGTATAATAATGCTAGGACTACATGTCAAACTGGAGTAATGCAACATCTGAAAAGGTTTGGGTTGTGTGACTAAACTTTGTTACGAAAGGCAACACAAACCCAGACATTTGGGGTGGGAGTGGGGGGCTCTCACACAGACTCAGGAGCTAAAATGTCTCCTCTGAAGATGTGAGATGACCAACCCCCTACCCCCTGAGCCTCTCTGCTGCAGTGGCTGATTAATTCCCTCTTTACTGATGTTGTTGCTCACCTGTGATTGTTTACTTTAGATACACTGATTCTCTCCAGCCTCCAGGCTAATATCACCTGCTCTATTTCTATTTCATGGCACACAATTACAACGGAGGGAATTTAGGAGGCCGACACTGAAAATAGCACTGCTGAATGTATGCATGCCTGCTCACTGCACATTTCTATGTGCCAGGAGGACGTGTATGGAATTCCTGCAGCTGTAGATCACATATCATGCAATGGGACTATTGTGTTGCACATGCTGGTTACCTACTGGGTTGATGCTCTTAGTCTGTGGCTTAATGTCTGTATTATTAGCCCTGAGCTGATTGCCACTTTGGAGCACAGCATCTGTGGATGCTGGTTCTGGGCTGAATTAGGACCTGTTCAACCCAGCAGGTCACCCAAACCCAGTGACCTTCAAAGAGTCCACAGGGTGTCTGCTTATTGCATTTCCAATCCCGATAGATTCGGAGTGAAGAGAACTGCATTAGTGTTGCATCTTCTGAAAGCAGGATTGAAAAGGATTACCAGGTCTTCAGTACTCACAAGAACAAAAGCAACAAAGATGTCAAAGCTTAGCTGGAGAATTTTGGGTAAAAACCAGTCCAGAGCATGTTCTGCTAAATTTTTACATTTTAGTGTATTACTGTTTAATCACCATCTGATTAGGTTGATGATTCCTAATCAGTTATGATCCTAAATGACTAATAAACTTCACAGTAAAATTTAAGGCTGTTGTTATAATTATTTTTTTGAATACTGTCTCTAGCTCTTGGTTTCTTCTCAGTGTTTTCCGGTTATTCTGTATTCATCCAGTCATTTTACGGTCATCTGTATTCTCAGCAACATGGAGCTGTGTTCATTTCAAATTGCAGCCACTTAAATCCCACTCCTCTTGAGGCTCCTCCTCCCAGATTCTCATTGGCAAGTGCCAGGCTGTGTGATTGTAAGTGGTTGCTGGTTGGCTTGGCATCAGGATGACTCATAGGCACCAGCGTCTGTTCTGGGCTCACCTGCCAACGCTGAAGGTTCAGGAAGATGAGATATGGTGGAAATAGACCTGAGATTCAAGAGACCTCCCACACACATTAAATGCAAGGGAGGAATCGCTGTGTCATTACATGCCTGCTGTTTATACATTTTTGTAAGATGCACAGTAATTGGTTTCGCTGTTTGAGTGCCTTCACTGGAGTCATTTTTGAGTCCTGTAAATGCTGTCACCTGCCATCTTTTCCATCCATCACATAGTCAACAGCCTGTGTGACTTCAAATAACATTAGTTTAATTGTTCTGTAACAAAGTTTTGGGGTCTGTACATATCTTCCCCCTTTATATCTGGGCCAGCAGGTTGGTAAAGCATAAGAGCTGGACACTGGTTGTGTGGATTTCGGTTGAGTATCTTAGATTCACATACAGAGACTGAGTAACTCTGTCCTTCCTACAGAGCAAGTCATATGTTTTCGACAGAGTCCTACCCCCAAACACCACCCAGGATCAAGTCTACAGCACCTGTGCCAAGCAGATCGTCAAAGGTACCCACTCTCCTGTTATTCGATTGGTTATTTTTCTTTGACTGTCTATAGCCAGTTGTTGCTGTACCTCTGAAACAACATCATAATTGGAGGCACTTGTAAAATGGTGGGTTAAAATTAAAATGGGGTAGAATTTGGTTAGTGAGGGGTGGCAGCCCTTTGGAGAATTTCCACCATTTTGAATGCTGTTTTGCATCCCGATTGAAGAGCTTGAGTGACTCCTGACGTGTGAGATCGTGTTTTTCGAACAGCTGGTCATGTGTAGAGCAGACCACCCGTCTAGGTGTCAGCTGGTTGTATTTTTTATGCTTCACAATATGACTTGGTCATTCCAGATGTTCTGGAAGGATACAATGGCACAATCTTCGCTTACGGACAGACGTCTTCGGGGAAAACTCACACCATGGAGGTAGGTGTGCGTGGACCCCTCAGCTCTGGTCCATTATAAACCCTGGTTAGAAATCACACACACAGTTCATATATTCCTGTGATTGTGGGTATTCTCCATTCATTTCTATGGGCAAAAAGAAATACAAGACTTCAGGCATTTTTGATTTTTCGATTGAATTTACAGATCTTTATAAAATTGTGATTTTTATTTTTTTTATTGTGGGGACCTGAAAAATGTCCCCACAAGCTATGAAGTATCAAGTTTCACCACAATGTGGGAAATACAAACCCACACACACATACACACCAACATGCACACTAACAGAATGACTGATTCATGGCTCTTTATTGCATGGCTAAAGCAATTACAAACATGTTTTATTTACAGCTAGGCTGCTGTTATAAATTGAATTATGCTCGGGGAAGTCACATCATGAAGTGTAAAACACTGGTAGTACTGGTAATAATCAGGTTGTTAAATCACATTGGCCTTAAAGCCGGATTAAAAGCAGATCCTAACCTCACCTTATCAGGGCTCTAAGCAGCGTAATTTCTGAACACAGTATAGCAGGTGTAGCCTTTGGCTCTAAGAAGTACAGTGGTACCTCAGTTCTCGAACTCATTAGAACTCAAATTTCTTAAAAGTCAAACTAACCAGTTCGGGGAAAAAATGACCTAGAACTCGATCTGAATCTCAGAAGTCGAACCGTGAATGCCGACCTAAGATAACAGGGAAATGAGTAACGCGGCACGTCTCTCTGCGGAAACAAAGGGTAACGCTTCAGTCTCAGCCTCACATTCGCTGTGATAGCATTGTGCATGTTTACACTAGCTGAATACATATATTTAGGCAGAAAAAATACATTTAGACAGTGATAGTAACAGTAATTGTTATTATATAATAAAATACATTTATAAATAAAGATTTCTTATTAATTATTTTAATATCATTAATAATAAACCATTAATACATTTAATTATAATAATATTGTCGTGCCGAGCGGGGACAGAATGGAGACAAAGACGCAGATGTCAGGGTATCGGTATTTAATTACAGGTAAGGCAGGCAAAATACAGACTGACAATACAATGACCGGACTGGGGAAACAAACTGAAACACAGACTAAAAACATAGGACTAATGACAACAACCAGAAACAGCTGATCACACGGGGATTCCACAAGAGGTTAATGAGGGGGCGTGGCACACGGGAGGAGCGGACGATCGGGGCAGGACACATTGTTTGGATACATTTATTTTCTTACTTTACAAATTACTGTTTTGATAAATGCGCTTACATGTGTTTGGGATAGTATATGCTCTTCTTGTTTTATCCTGGCCATTTTGTGCTTAAATAGTAATAAAAAACATATTTAGGTGTAATTTTTTGGGGCCGGGAACCGATTAATTGGTTTTCCATTATTTCTTATGAGGAAAATTCGATCAGAACTCGAACTTTTTAGGATTCGAACCTGAGTTCTGAACGGATTAAGTTCGAGTTCTGAGGTACCACTGTATTATATTTTACAAAAAGCTAGTAATTCTGTGGTTACTTGGTAGATGTGGGTTGCCTAAGCAGGTTCATTAAAGCACTGTCCACTGTGTGAAACCTCCCCCCAGTCAGTCTGTGAAACTCTATGGCCGCTTGTTCTTCTGTCATTCTGGGAAAACCCTCGGTGGTGAACTCAGAGAGCGCACTGTGGCATTTATTAAGCCTGTCACGTATGTGTTATGAACATTCCTCCTGCCTCTATGGATGAACGCATCGATCATTCGAAAAACAAAAAGCGAAACTCAATAAACGTTCACTCCCACGCTAGTTCATCTCCACCGCCGCTCCACGATGCATCGTCTGTTTTTCGTGTTTTAAAAATAGAGCGTGCCGAAGAGACGTGTCACTGGGTGCTCTTCCAGTAGAGCGCCTCCCAGCAGGTATTCTCGTGGTGCTTTGGTGTATCAGGACCAATGGCAGAGTGGGGGGTTGTGGTGCCGCGTTTCCCAGCAACGCCAGATTTCCATGGTGCCAATGATGGTGGCCGGGCCAAAACTCGCAACAGACATTGCAAAAAAAGGTAATTATCCCTTCATCAGATCTGTGGAGATCGCCATGGAGATGACAAGCCAGTCTGCTTGAAAATAGGTCAGCCGTGTATATGAACCAGACATCAAATATGCCACTAATGGGAACTCAGTGCCTGTACAGGACGCCGCTCTGCAAGCAGGACTCTTGGGGTTTTGTGCACTCAGGAGTCTATGGAAGCTGGAGGAACAACTGTGGAGTTCATTTTGCATCATAATATTAATTGCTTATGTCCTACTGTACCATGGAAATAACTTGGTTTTATTTGACACTGCTCGGAGCAGTGACTGGGATATGTGCCCTTTAACAGGCCTTACCAGATCCTGCTGTCATGTCTGACCTGAAAAATGACTAGTCCCTGTTCTGTGATGGCACCAGGCTGGCTCAATGTGACCAATACCTCGGGGCTTTCTGATGGAGATGTGGAAGCTATTGGCTACTCTGCTTGTGTCCTGCCCTTACGCGTAAAGGAGGGCTTTCTCCAGACAACTACATGTAGATCACTCCCTCTGTCCCCACCCCAGGGCAAGCTCCATGACCTTGGGCAGATGGGCATCATTCCCCGCATCGCCCGTGACATCTTTGACCACATCTACTCCATGGACGAGAACCTGGAGTTCCACATCAAGGTGCGGGCTGAGGTCGCTGAATGTTCATCCTGTGCCTCTGACGTTCAGTCAGTTAGAAATGTATTTTTCACTTGTCTTTGCACAGGTCTCATACTTTGAGATTTATCTGGACAAAATAAGAGATTTGTTAGACGGTAAGTGGCAACGGTTCTCACGCTGGTGTTTGGAGGAAGAACGACAGGTATTGACCCAACTTTTTCTTCTTCCTAAGTGTCCAAGACCAATCTCGCCGTACATGAAGACAATAACAGAGTTCCCTACGTCAAGGTAGGAGAGCACCTGAAGGCAAACGTGTCTCACAGCTTCCTAATTAGCACAATCCTGGGAGCATTAGGTGCCATGTTAACATGGTGCTCCATTTGACGCTCTTAATTCCATAAGTTCAAAACAAGATGTCAGATAACAGCATATCAGACAAATTAAGGGTCAGATTTCATTAAAGACAATGTGATGACTAGTAAATACACTTAAGAAGGTGGTTAAGTGCATCATTAATACAGGGCTGCACGGAGAGGTTCGTCTCCAGCCCTGAGGAGGTGATGGACGTCATCGATGAGGGAAAAGCCAACCGACATGTTGCTGTGACAAGTATGTATCCCCCCACAGGCACATGGCAAATTCTCACTGCCCCAAATTCCATGTAGACGCCTCCAGTCCTCATCTTGCCAGAGGAAGCTCCTTTGGATTGGACGATGATTGCTGTGAAGATCAAGCCAATTGTAGAGCCCACATTCCCCATAGCAACGTCAGCCTGTATCTATGTATACAATGATTTGGAGTTTTTAATTAACATAAATTAGCAGTGATGTTTGTAGGTTACCCAGTCATTTCATATCTGTGGTGGCCGTGCTAGATGTTCCCAGATCATACACCTTGTGTTTCCTTCAGACATGAATGAGCACAGTTCGAGAAGTCACAGCATCTTCCTGATCAACATCAAGCAGCAGAACGTAGAGACAGAGAAGAAGCTGTCCGGGAAGCTCTACCTGGTGGACCTGGCTGGTAGCGAGAAGGTGAGGATGACCCACCTGGCTTTGCCAATCCGATTTTGACCATTTGGTGGCCAGGAGGGGTAGTTTGAGTCTCTGTCAGGGTGGTTGGGCAGGGTGGGGGGATGGCGGGTCTCAGAAACTCCACTGCTGAGATGATGCCTCCTCTCTCATTCTCTGACATTTTCAGGTCAGCAAGACGGGGGCAGAGGGAGCTGTGCTGGATGAGGCCAAAAATATCAACAAGTCCCTCTCAGCCTTGGGGAACGTCATCTCTGCCCTGGCCGAGGGAACTGTAAGCAGTCCTCTCTCTCTCTCCCTCTGCTTTCTTGACCTCGCTCTCTCTCCCTCTCTCTTACTCCCCCTTTCTCTCTTTCTCTCTCGTCCTGCCTCCCCCAAGGATCAAGACCTTGTCACGTGCACAGTTACACTGGTCCAACTTGCAGTGAAGTGTAAATCTGGCTCACTCCTGAGAAAAAGAGAGTATAGATAAAAGTCAAATCAAATTAAATAACTTAAATATTAAGGGAGGGGTTAGTAGGCTAAAAACAAAGGCTAAATAGAAGATACACAGAAGGCTATATGTAAAAATACTATTTAAAGAGGCAAATGTGTGCAAATGACATTATATACAGATATCAAAGTGAACAATGATGTGTAATGCTGACATAAGCTGCAGTGAAGCGGCAATAATAATTAACGTACATTTATAAAAAAGTCATGGAGTGTGTTGAGAAACCCGATGGCCTGAGGGTAGAAGCTCCTTTGGGCCTCTCTGATTTGGCCCAAGAGGAGCTTCCATCCCTCCTTCTGATTAGCAGGTTGATTAGCATGGTTAGCATCTACACCCATGCATGTTGTTCTACACTATAATGCAAGGTAATGGCTCCACTTGTCTGTGTGGGTTTCCATATGTAACCTTTGACTGGGTCGAGGATCCAGGCTAGATGAAAATGATGCAGTGGGTATGTGACCTGGCCTGATTTGGAGCCATTGGCTATGACATTAATCTGGAAATGTACCTTTAACGGGGTCGCTGATATCTGCACATCACCCAAGATCATATTTTTAAAATACTACAGGCAGAGGATATTCTTCATGTTTCCAAAATGTATGTGTGCTGGTTCCGGTGAACTGAACAAGGATCAGAATATTCCAGAAGGGGTCTGATCAGTGACAGCAATGTCTCCCCATGCGTAGAAAACCCACGTGCCATATAGGGATAGCAAGATGACCCGCATCCTGCAGGATTCACTGGGTGGGAACTGCAGGACCACCATCATCATCTGCTGTTCGCCCTCCATCTACAACGAGGCTGAGACCAAGTCCACACTGATGTTTGGGCAGAGGTGAGCACAGAGGGTGCGACACGCTAACATTCTAAAGGAAACCCCCAAACCTTCCAATAAGAATTCTGAAGCACCTGAAGTGATGCTATCAACCTCTATTTACAGTGACAGTCAAACGTCTGGGCATACCTACTGAAAATCATAAGCGTACCTCAAGGTTATGTAGTAAATGTTATCATGTGAACAAGTAAAGAGATGCAGATGACCTAGCCCCCACAATCCCTTAACCTAAACCGTATTGAGCTGGTTTAAGATGAGCTGGATCAAAAAGTAGAGCAAGGTAGCCAACATGTGAACAGGCATTATGGAAGCTCCATCAGGACTGTTGGAGATGTATTCCAGGTGACCAAGAGTCCACAATTTTGGAACCTGTTCCATGGAGGGCCAGTGTGGGTGCATGGTCTCTCAATCAGCCATTAACAGTGGGTCCCCAGAACCAGAGTTGAGAACTAGTGTTTTATTATTGGCTGATAGAGAGGTCATCCCAAGACCACCCACACTGGCCACCCCTGGTCTAAAACATTTCTCTTGGTTGTTGCAATAAGTGATATGTGTTACTTCTTTTTCTAAATGCCATTTTCTGTAAGGTGAACAACAGCTACAATATAGACAAATATACTAAAAGCAGGTGTGTCCAGACCTTTAACTGGTACTGTACTTTCTGTTCCATGTATAACTAGCATCATTTGTCTTGTGTTATGGAGCTCTGTAACTTCTTTAATGGCTTGGGGTAATTACACCTCGCAGTAAAGTTTATCGAGTTCTAACGTCTAAAGCCTCGTTTTAGCAATGATGAAGGTCTCTGCCTCTTCGTTCCTCTGTAGAGCCAAGACCATCAAGAACACAGTGTCTGTCAACCAGGAGCTGACGGCCGAAGAGTGGAAGAGGAAGTACGAGAAGGAGAAGGAGAAGAATCGTGGCCTGAAGCTCATCATCCAGCGGCTAGAGATAGAGCTGCTGCGCTGGAGGAAAGGTGAGCGAAGGGCCGGGAACGAGGTATTGAGGGGAACCGAGAGTGGCCAGCATGCGGTGGTTAAAGAACTGGATAAACTCTGGGAAGGGGGTCCTGTAGTTGTACACAGGACCTCTTCTGTGTACAACTACAGAGAGCTACCTCATCTAGCAAAGATCAATATATTCATTAGGTTTTACATTTCTTATTGAACTCTTGTTGCTTCCATGTCCTTGACAGTTTTTGACTTTTTTTGGGAATGTAAGTTTGTCATGCAGAAGGTATTCGACTAGCAAATGATCCTCTGAGTAAGGGAATATGACATTTACGTGATCCTTGAAGATCTGAGGAACACGAGGAGATGAAAACCAAGCATAGATAAAGGGTTAATGGCCTTATTAAACAGAACCACAGCCGTTGCCAGGGCTGCCTGCCTTCTGCATTAAAGGGACGTTTCTGCAGTCTGTCGGGTGCTTATCGCTGGGTCATTTCCTCATCTGAATGGACAGGAAGTCGAAGCTAAATGATGCAGTGAATCATATCTGCAGCAGCATGGGATTGTCTTTGAAAAGAAGGCGCCTAAACTCTATTACACCACAGAAGATGTGGTCAGAGTCGCCATAGAAATATGCAGCTTGGGTGGATTTTGTTTTAGTACCAGAAGTTGGATTACAGTCGTAGCATGTTGGGAAACTGCTGTTGAACCATTCAGCGAGAAATTATTAATTAAATATCTATGTTTAGAAGCTACTTAAAGGTAAAGCAGTTATTAGTTATTAGTTGGTTGTGTAACTATAGATATATGTAAGCTTGGGGGACTGATTTAGGAGGGGGAGTCAGTTGACTTGGTGAGTTGGTAAAATGCAGAGTTTGGAGAGCTGAGTCAGTAACAGTCACAGAACGGGGGTCACGTCCGGACCAGGACAGATCGGGAATGGATCAGGGACGGATAATCGCTAGACACTGATCTGCTGACAACCTGCCGTGCCTCCCAGTGCTAGGTTCTGGCGTCGGTCTCGCTAACACGGGGTGGGGGGGGATTAGCTGTGGCTACAAAGAACAGACAGGTCCACCACTTTCCTGTCGGGGAGGGGGTGGGTGGGGGCGCCTTTGGCCACCATCACCTGTGGCGGTGCCGCCCAAATTCTATGGGATTTAGTGGATCGTCTTTTTATCTCAATCTGGTGCAGGGCAGCTTAGAACCACAAAGAGACGATGACGAGTTGCACGGTGTGGCAGGTGGCGTCTCTACCTCTATCTGTCCGGTCACATGCTCGGGTTTAAATGCCACCAGACAGCCCTCCCCACGCAGCCCCCTCCCCCGCTGCTCCGGTGTATGCTGGAAGGTGTTATCAGCACTACTGAGTCTCTGTTGTTGTTGCTGGAGTATTTAGCCGATAAGCGTCCTGCCTTATCTCACTCTGCCCACACAGCAGCAGAGTTTTACCGTGTTACTTTCCGTAAGTCTTTCATTTATCTGCTGTTTATAATCCAGCGGTGGTGCCATACTTGCATCTTGTGGCCGTGAGATTTAGGGTCATGCTCAGATGGAAGCTGACTCTACGGCAAGGGGAAGTTTTACGGACTGTCGAAAGTTTACCTCTGCCAAAAAACAGAGGTATGAAAGGAACCCAGGCAGGTGCTACCTACCGCCCCCTGCAGGTGAGTCTGTGCCCAAGGAGGAGCAGCTGAATGCCAAGGACCAGAAGAGCTTAGACCTTGGAGAAAACATACCTGTCATCAGCGCTCTGGGTCCCCCCGAGAACCTGCTGTCTGCTGATGAGAGGACCAAGTATGAAGAAGACATTGCTGAGCTTTACAAGCAGCTGGATGACAAGGTGGGACAGAGGGGGGTGTTGCTGGATGATGTCATGATTTTTTGACATGCCCAGTAATTTTGTTGTTATTGGGTACTGACTCTACAGCCTCTTTGGAAACCTGTTAGTTGCCCCATGTGATTTTGAAAAGTAACATATCAAAGTACTGATTGTCAGACCTTTTTCTCAATTACTTCAAAATTTTCAGTCCTCTTTCATGTCAATATATATATAAGTTTATTTTTATTATTATCACAATTCAGTAGAAATAAACTTTTAGCTTGGCATGCTAAACCCCTGAGAGGATCAGCTCATGCTTTGCTGCTGTCATATGCATGAAATCCCACGTTTCCCAGAAAATGATGTTTTATATTATAAATGATTACAAATGATGAGTAGATGCCCTGCGGGTCTGACGTGTGCAAACACTCCCCAGGACGATGAGATCAACCAGCACAGTCAGATGGCCCAGAAACTGATGCAGCAAATGCTGGACCAGGATGAGGTGCCTTTTTATTCTTTACCTGGGAGGGGCCCAGAATAGGGGAGAAACAAACAGCAGAGAGAATGACACAGAAAGTTATTTACAAATGTGATTAAATTGTAGCTTCTTTTAAATGAATGTTTTCTTAATCAGAATTTTCCATTTTCATGTAAATTATGTCATTAAAATCAGATTAAACAAATGTGGAATTCTGAGCTCAGTAATCTGGTCTCTCTCCGTACAGTCAGCTGAAAAACACTGATGCCATCTGGTGGGCATAATTGGTACAAAAGAACTTAATCCTCATTAAACAGCAGCAGTATGGGCGGAAGTTAATGGTTCTCTTTAGCATGCATGTGATTAATCTGCCCTGCATTCATTTTAGGGACATTGCAGTAGAATATGGTGGCTTACAGTGTAATAATGTTTAATGTGAAATCATGGTGTGCAAACAACCGCGTCTCCTGCAGCTTCTGGCATCGACTCGGCGCGACTACGACAAGATTCAGGAGGAGCTGTCGAGGCTGCAGACGGAGAACGAGGCAGCCAAAGAGGAGGTGAAAGAGGTGCTGCAGGCCCTGGAGGAGCTGGCGGTGAACTACGACCAGAAGAGCCAGGAGGTGGAGGACAAGGCGCGGGCCAACGAGCAGCTAGTGGAGGAGGTGGCACAGAAGACGGTGGGTGTGGGGTCCGGGGCGGGGATACAGGCTGTTACAGAGAGCTGCAGGGCTGGGGTTTGGCAGGAGATACAGGCCGTTATAGAGAGTTCTAGACTCGGGGGGTGTTTGAGGGGTAATTGGCTGGGGTGTGGGGTTTGAGCTGACTGTGTACTCTGCATCAATGTGCACAGGCATCCCTGGCAACCATGCAGAGGGAGCTGACCCAGCTGCAGGATGTCAGCTCCCACCACAGGAAGCGGAGCGCTGAGGTCCTCGGCCTGCTGCTCAGAGATCTGGGCGAGATTGGAGCTATCATCAGCACCAGCGACACCAAGGTGAGCCCCTCCTCACTACACAGCCTGATCATCAGCACCTGTGACAGTAAGGTGCAAACCCCCCTCCCCCCCCCCCCCACCATGTCCCAGACATATCCCCATCATCAGCACCAGCGACACCAAGGTGAGGACCCCCCCACATCCCAGACACACCCCAATCATGAACACTGTAATGAAAGGCTATCTTGGAGAATAGGCAGGGGGCGCCATCTGTCTAACAAAGGAGAGTCATGACTGGTCTCACTGATTCCTACCACCTGTCCATTCTTACTCTTCAGATATACAGTATTGGTGTGTTTCACTTTTGTTTTTACCGTGACCCTCAACAGGGCATGTATCTGTGCGCATGTGTTTGTGCATGTGTGTCTGTGTGGTTATGTGCTGTCATTTCGAACTTTGATCTGTGTGTGTGTTTCAGGTGCGTAGGGAGTGACTGCCATTTTAGTTTTGTCAATGTATGTTGTATGCTGTTATTCGGATAGGAAGCTGGGTATAGGGTTTCTCGTTTTTTTCCTTTCTTTGCACTTAGGTTAGTTTAGGTGTGGGTTGCGTTCGGAAGCTGGGTTTTGTTTGTTTTCGCTGTAGTCACTCCTGAGTCCTTTTGCACCGGGTTTATTTGTTCTGTGTCTGTGGCGTGTCAATAAAAAACAGAGAAATACAAGCAAATACCCCTTTGTCCACTTGTGTTCCCTTGTATCACACCCTGTCTTTCCTTTACTCCTCCTTTACTCATTCATTCTGTTACGCCCCAACTCTAGACTGGGGCTCGCAACAGTGTGTGTTTGTGTTTCATTATTCATCTTTCTCTCTCCTCTCCTCTCCTCTCTTCTGCTCTCCTCTCCGCTCTGCTGAAATAGCAGGTCCTCCTTCACTTCCCCCAGGGATCTGTTTCCTTCCTGTCCCTCCCCCCTCTCGGTGAACACAGTGCTTAGCTATTAGAAACCCCCCCCTCCCCACATCATGCCATGATCTTGTTCTCTACCCGCTGCATCTGTCACGGTCAATTCTCATGCCTTTGTGTAGAAATATTAGTGTTAGTTTGCATTTGCCGTGCAAGCGAGTGTGACCATGTGGCTGTGTGACGCCCCCCCACTGCAGGTAACTGAGCCGAGCGGAGCCATTGAGGAGGACTTCACTGTGGCGAGACTCTACATCAGCAAGATGAAGTCAGAGGTGAAGTCGCTGGTGAACCGAGGCAAGCAGCTGGAGACCTCCCAGGCTGACATCCACCGCAAGATGCAGGCCAATGAGAAGGAGCTGGCTGCCTGTCAGCTGCTCATCTCCCAGGTACCCACCAGAAAGGGGTGGAGTCACTCAATGGG